AAAATTATTCCTCCATTATCCTTAAGCGACCAGAGAGATGACTTGCCAGTGCAGAGTTTAGTTCATTAGTCAATTCTCAAAACCACTTGATATTATCTCTACGTGAGCCAAGTCTTCAGTCATGTTGGCTTGTTCTGATCTTGGTTTGAGCTAAAAATTAAACAATCCGATCTCAAAGACATTTTTTTATCACAGACAAATTCTTAATCCAACATGCAATATATAAATAATAGGTATTTGAAATCACTATTACAAACCCTTGTAATATTAACAAATGCTAAGAGTTTTCATAGCGTTTCAACAATTATAAGTATAAGAGAGAACTGGGGGTTATTTTAGCCATTGTAATTTTTTGCAATGATTTTAATTACTATTAAAACTGTTAACTAGCATTATTGCAATGGTTCTAATCATTGAAATTCTACAAATTTGAAATAATTTTAGCCTTTTATAATTTACGATAATTAATTGCATTATAAATGCGATAGGGCTTAGACAACGCTTAAATTTGTTGGTATGATGGATTATGATGATTTTAAATGAGAAATAATCATAGTTGTGCAATAGTGGATGGAAAATCATAGTTAGAAAATTATGGTTAGAAGATCATAATTTTACAATAGCGATCGAAGGAAAACAGTCAAAATGATAATGGTTAAAAAATTATAGTCGGGCAAAGTTAATATGAGGGTCATAGACTAATAGTAGAGTTGTGGTGGTTGGGGCATCCTACTTTGGCAATTATTGACACGGGATTGCAGTAGGGTAACGCTAGTTAGAAGATTTTACTTGGTTGATTGTGGTCGGAGGGTCGTAGTCGAGCGATGATGGTCGGGGGACTGTAATCAAACAAAAATACTTAGAGGACTATAATTGGGCAACGATGGTCGAGGATCGTAGTCAAGCAACGATAGATTGATGATTGTAATTAGGAGATGTCGGTTAGGGGTCAAAGTTGAGCAATAGTGCTCAGGTGATCTTAGTCGGGTGATGGTGATTAGATGACCATAGTTGGATGACATTAATTAGAGGACCGCAGTTTGACAATGATGGCCTAGAAACAGTAAGTATGCTGTCAGTAATAAGATGACTCTAGTAAGATGATAGTAGTTGGAGGACTACAATCAAGTGATAATGATCAAAGAACTATATTTAGGTGACAATGGTCAAAAGATCATAGTCGGACATCAGTTGTCAGGGTATTGTAATTAAGTGACTATGGTTACTGCTTCATAGTCGGGTAATGTTGATCGAGGGATCATAATAAGCTGACAGTGGTCGAGAGAGCATGATCAGTCGAGGGTGATCGAAGGACCATACAATAAAGATAATTGTTGGAAGATTATAGTCAAGCGATGATATTCAAAGGGTAGAAGTCCTACAAGTCCGATGATGACGGTAGAGAATTGCAATGAAGGTGGTCGGATGACAATCAGTCGTTGGTCCAATATCGATGGTCAAGTAGTGGTCTAATGAAGCTTTGCTATTCTTTATGTGATGCCCCATAATTTAAATTGAAAGAATTAAACTTTTTTTTTATCATTTATGCATTAACTAGAGCTCACATAATTCAATGTCAGCAAAAAATATGATTATATTTATGTTAGTTAAATATTTACATATTTAATCAAATCCCAAAAAACATACACAGTATACAATAACCAACATGTAAGCTATCACCCGCTAACTAGCCTTACTTGCACGCTCATTATCCTTGTTTGAAATCATATAAAAATCATATAATTAGCATATAGCCCAACAAATAAAAAAAAAACTTACTGTTGCATTCAATGCAAGACAAAAGAATCAATATAACAGTTCTTATTCTAGTCAATATCAATCAATAAGCTATCAATATGAACAAAAAGCAATATATAAAATCAATATTAGTAAATAGCAAAATCAATATGATCAAAGAAGTCAGATTATTTAATAAACAAAAGAAATATATCAATCTATAAGAAAGACAATAAAAAAGCTATCAATCAATAATATGTGTTAAACATTGAAATAAGCCTCAATTGTCTATCAATTATATTCATATTGATGTTTTTATTGAATGATTATATCAAGCATTGTGTCATGCACAGCTGTCTATCAATGTCATGTCAATATGTTATATCAATATATTTATCAGTGTACTTTAATAATATGTCTATCAATGTCTATCAATATCCCTATCGTATACTATGTCATATTGTATCAATGTCAATGAGTATCATTGTATGTTCCATCAATCCTACTTTAGCTATATCTATCAATCAATTCATATGTTATCACATAAATGTAATCATGAATGTGATTATGAATAACAAGACAAGACATCCACCTTTAATATTATCACACCTCAATATCTAAAGTAGAAAATTTTCTTTTCTTTTTTTCTATTTTATTATCTTTTAACACATTATATTTATTTTTCTTTTAGTTAAAAACCAATAATCATTTATTTACAATCAAATAAATCTAACATCCAAAGCTAATTAATTTTATTAAAAAAATAAATAATTGCATGAAAAACATCATTATATTTCTATAATCAATATTTACATTCTACAATTATTGTTTAAGAAAATATGTACAATAATCACTACAAACTATAAAAGAATACATTTAACCAATGAACTTAAAATAAAATCAAAATATTATTACTACTAGACCTCAAATCGCATACCCCTTATCTTTATTTGAAATTATATAAAACTATATAATAAGCATAAAAACCAAACAAATAACTAAAATTAATGCAAGGAAAAAGAGAAATGATATGTTGTAAATCATGTAAGAAAACTAATGCATCAATATATGTTATTTGTATCGATCACATATGTCAATTTATCAGTTCTATTTCACATCTCAGTCTATCAATTAACCAGACATTTTGTATTTATCTTTCAATCATTCTTATTCAATCAACCAATCTTATCATTCATTCAATTATCTCAATTAGTAAGTTAACTGTAAAGTAATTGTATCTATACTTTTATCATGTGTCATACAATATATATATATATATCATTTACTAAATATTCAGATGATGATATGATTCCCAATTAGTCACCCTTTATAACTTCTAATATTAAACTTCTTATAACTTCCAATAAATAGATCATGCAAATCAATCGTCCCGAGTCCTTATAACTCTTAATCAGTCTATAGCTCCTTATGACTTTCATACGTAAATCAATAAATCTTGAGGGTATCACATAGAGAGAGAGAGAGAGAATGAAATGAAATCATACTAAATTGTTCATAATTATCAAATTTATTTATAACATATTAAATGTTATACGATGAAAACTTACGAAATCAAAATATAATACATTTTTTGTAGATTTTGAAGAGATAAAATTTATAGAAATCAAATTCATCAAAAATAGAAGATAATAGTCAATTACAATGATCAGAGAGCTTCCTCTCTCTTCTTCCCTCTCCCTCTCCCTTCTCCCTTTCCTTCCCGAGCAAGCCACGCGAGAATGAGTGTGAGGTGGTGATGCTAGAGCTTTTATTGCTTAGAATTATAATAAAAATATTGTTAGTGTCCTAGCGCCGCAGTGCTCATGCCTAGAGCCACAACGCTGTATGTTGAATCCAAAATTACAATAGAACATATGCTTCAATGTTGTGGCGATGATTTCTTGCGTCGTTGCTCTTAAAGGCCATTGCCTCAACACTCATAATCTTAGTGTTGCAGCACTCCAGTTCAAACAAAAATGCACATTTTCACTTTAAAATATATTTTCATATCTGGGTTATTACAAATGTGGCCTTTTTAATATCTGTAATCACAATTGTTCTACAGTTGGTTGTGAGTATTCATGTTGTCGTCATTATTCATGAATTTTAAAGCCGTTTACATGTGATTTTCAATAAATCATTAAGAGTCATCACCCTTTGATCCTTGGCGTAATTCCTTCAATCATTTATAAGCTAGAAACATGATTATACAATAAATCTCTATTTTAAGAAAAGTCTTCGGCACACTCTCCTATACATGATATTATATTTTAAGAGCCAATGTATATTAATTATAATATTAACAACCAGTCTTCCTTGCTTTACATACAAATGTCATATTTATCTTATATTAGGGATATCATTTTTGTTATGCAATGCCAATATGAAATGCATTAACTTCATAAAATTTTCAAAAAATTCTATACACTATGCATTAACTTCAGAAAATCATAATTAACTATCAATTTACTTAATAAAAATTTTTAATATTATAATCAAAATGCTTATAAAATCAATATCTATCTTACAACAAAAGTTACACAATGAAAATTGGATAAATCAGAAGAAAATATATTTTTGACAGATTCAAGAAAGATAAAAATTGTAAAAATAAAAATCATTAAAAATAATAGTAAGAGTATAGTCACTTACGTTAATTAAAATAAAATATGTAAATGAACAAAAACACCTAAAAGCACTTCTCGCCTGACGCCTCCTCTCTCTCGCCTCCCTCTATCCCTTATTATCTTCTCCCCCTTTCTTTCCTTTCAGGCCAAACAAAATGAGAGTGAAGGAGGGTGGTGGGATGATGGTGATATTTAAATGAAAAATATTAGAAAATTATTTTAGTGCCTAGCTCCATTGTGTTCCATGCCTCCCCAATGTTATTATAGTATATGGGTGTCAAAATGCATTTTCGAGCCAGGTTCAGATCCAACCCGGAACTGACCCGCCCGTGAGTGATCAAATCTGAACCCGACTAGATTACACAAACAGGTCCAAAAACTAAATTCGGACCCAACCCGCTTGGTTACCGGGTTGACCAAACCCGACCTGTCGTGAGAGCAACTGCAGGGCTACGCGAGCACGAATAGGGTGAGGTGGATCTCGAATGAGTGTACGAGGGCGAGGTGAGTGCACAGGACCGCATGCGATTGCAGTCCATTTGCCATAAAATCTTATCCAGGCTTGGATTTTTAGTTTTTTCTTATCATATAAGAATTTTAATGAACCAGAGAGGAGAACCGAAAAATATTAAACAATAACTTTAAATTCTGATCATTTTTATTCTCTACATGCGCTAAATAGAAAGACAAAAAGACAAGCCTATTCACGGCTCACTTCCTCACGTTTACCGCCCGAGTTGCAGGTCCACTATCTTCCAAATCGCCTTCTCCGGGTCAGCCCACTCAGACCCTTCTCGACCACAAGTAAAGGGAATTTGCCGGCAAGTCGGGCACGACGACCGGACCGCGAGCCACCGGTCGATGCATTGCACGTGGAAGCCGTGGCCGCAGTTCGGCAGCAGCCGGACTCGCTCGCCCGGTTCGATTTGGTTTAGACAGATCGAGCACTCCGAATCGTAGATCACGATGGGTAGCCTCTGGATCGCCTGATGCACGTCCGTGGCTCCACCGAGGTTTATCGGGCCAGGCGGCTGGATCGGGCCGGAGCACCGGACGACGCACCGGACGATGAAATCGAGCAAGAGCGCACAGACAATGACGCAGATAAGAACGGCGAGGATCAATATGCAGTCAAAGCCGATGCTATTTCCGATCGGCTCGTCGGAGAAGACGGCTTCTCCGGCGAAATCGGTTTCGAGATGGCGGCTAGAGGAGATGGACATGATGATTTCCTTATTGAAAGCAGGAAACATGATTTCTTTATTGAAAGCAGGTAACGCTTTATTGATAGGGTGTGTGCTAAATTTCTGTATTTTGGTGATACTATTGGCAAGAAAATGCACTTAATATCCTGGGATTCCAAGGTTCTTTGTCTACTCCAGAAGGGAGTAAAACTAAGGTTCTGTGCCTACTCCATGAGGGAGTAAAAGGATTTCCAGGTTCTCTACCTACTTCAGGAGAGAGTAAAAGGATTCAAGACACTCTATCTCATCGGGTCGATGGAAAGATTTTATAAGAGCTTCTTCGTCTTCTGGTGGGGGCAAAAGGGGAGATTGCTTTTAGTGCAAGAATTATGGTGTGTTCTTTCTATTTACTTTACCGCATTTAATTTCCGCATTTTTCTGTGATTTGTTCTGAGTTTTAAATCTCTTATTTTAGTTATTGTGAAATGAGGATAAAATTGTTTGTTTTAAAATATTAAAAAAATAAAAAAATTCTTTTTCTCATAAAAAAAAAATTTAAAGATAATCAATTCACACCGCTCTTGATTAGGCTCGAGCTAGTTCATAAAGATTTAACAATCCTCACGAACTTTAAAGTGGTCATATAAATAAAAATAAAATACATACAAATAAAAGCGTTGATGGCATTTTTATTTGTATGTATTTTACTATTTTATAAATTGATTGCATTTTTCTATACTATCTAAAAATTATAGTTGATAGGTCATCGAAAAATTATCTTGATCGGGCACGAATCTCGAGGTAAAATCAAGTTGGAAACTTTCGAAATTAAAAGTGGAACCATATGAACTCCAATTTCAGCAAACTTACAGTCGAACTAAACGTCTCGAAAATACGAACCCAACGACACCAAATTCGACTCAATATGAGCCTAAATGGGTCCAAATCAATGGTCTGAAGTTATGTTGGAGGGTTCGAACCACAATTTGGATTACCAAACGGTTTCCAAACATGACGTGCTTATAATCGAATTGAGCGGCTCGACGAGACAAATACAACTGGCAAACAACCCATTGAGAAGGTCTAAAAAAGTTGAGAAATCAATCTTGGTGGAGCCTTCGGCTCCATTACAATCCATTATTCACCTCTCTTCTCTAGAATCCGCATTAAACTTTAGGGCATCTTCATCCGAATGTCATTTCACCCATTTATAGCTCCGGAGAGCATCCACTCAATGGAAAATGAAAATGTATTTTTACGTTTTATCTCGGTTGTGAACAGTACGACGCCAATTTCGATCTTATATTATATAGAAACTTATTTTGTGTTAGAAATGAATATAAAAATAAAGATGAGAAAGAATATACATAAAATACTTTTTTATGTTAAAAATGGAGTTCGGTTGGAGACGAATTACAGTTAGGAGATGCTCTTTAAAATTAGACACTCTCCAAAAGCCTCCTTTTTCTAACATAAGATTTCAATATGTACAGGCAAGCCATGCATATTAAAACCTAGGGTCCTTCATTACTAAATTATCTCTCATAAGAAAATAATGAAAAAAAAAAAAGCTTTATATGTAATCTTTATAAATAAAAAATACTCTCTTCCTCTAGCTATACCAGTGTATCTTGTTGAAATAAAAATATGGGAGATTCAAGATAAAATAAATAGAATTGTCATATTATCTAGGTGAAACTAATGAGTACGCGTTTAAAGAAAAGCTGAAGGCTTTTAAAAGTGGAGAACAATTCAGTGCAATGTAGTTGCTATTAATTACCCATCACCTTCATAATAAATTTTATTTTACTCTTCTTTGCATTGTAAGAAGTAAGAACATTATAGTTGCTTCCACTTAATGCAATTACTAAAGTAATATTACTCACTGGTTATGCAATAATATAATGCTTGTCATAATGATGTGTTATAGTTGTTGGTTTATATTTTATTGTATCTATTTTTTAATTTATTGTGTCATCTTTATTGTGATAGTCATTTTTTGTTTATACCTTTTGCATTATAGTTTATTATCTCAACCTTTTAGCCTATTCTATTAAAGTTGTTGGGACATATTCTATTATATCTATCTTTGTTTGAATCTCATTTGAACCCCACTTGAATAATGTTCGAATGAGGTTAGAATCATGTTCAAATTATGGCTTCGTTTGGGACGGCTTTCTTATTGCTTCTTAAAGCAGCTTTCTAGAACAAAAATTACTAGAAAGCTGCTTTAAGAAGCAGAAAGAAAGGCGTCCCAAACGAAGCCTATGTTTGAACTTTGTTTTAACTCTATTTGCACCGTATTTGAATATGGTTCCAACATGGTTTAAATAGGGGTCAATTTTTTCTTAAATAGGGGTTTTTACATGCATCACAATTTGAACTTATGTTGTTTGAGACAGGGTTTAAATAATTAGTTCCCAAGGTGGAAGTATTTTTTTTTATGAAACAAACTTTCTACTATTGTGATGCATGTAAAATCAATTTAAAAAAAAAAAATTATATATATGTATATAGCATGTAATACATATGTATATTTGTGTATTTTTTTTTGGGTGGGGGGATAATCATTGTACTGAATATTGTTGCCATCTTCTCGTGAGTTCGGGCAGCTTCGACCAATTTTGTTTTTCTTTTTCATTTCTCTATAGGTTTTATGTTTATTAATCCTCCTTCCCGGTTATTCTTAGTTGCCTGAATATTTATACATTAAATACATATAATATTTAAATTTTATATAAGACTATTGTTGTGTCCTAGAGTATTCGCGGCGGTAGAGAAATATATAATTTTAATGTCTTAGCATTGTACGAAGATTCTGTACACAATCAGATAAGAGAGAGGCTGTATCATTCGTAAGAGACACCATAGTTTTTACGTGGAAACCCCTGAAGAGGGAGAAAACCCATAGGGTCTGGCCCAGTTTGAATGAATCCACTAGTATTTGCATCGATTACAAATGAGGCCCTTCTTAGGGAGAAGGTCTCGGCTTGATGTCACAAATATACATCATATAGAGCGCAGTACATTGTGGGAGTTACAATAATAAATATAGACATGTTTGTTTGGTTGGAAGGGCCATAGTTGGTACGAGACAGGGGTTCGAAAGATCGAAGTTGGCATGAGACCGAGGATAGAAAGACCGTTATCTAGTGATGGAGGTCGAAAGAACCATAATCGGCATGAGACAAGATCACTGAATTCCGATATCACTAAAACATTCAAATGTCCATCAAACGATCCACGGTCAAGGGGTTCAACATCGGCCTTCTATCCAACTACTCCCCATTTGCCCTAGATCCTTCTCCTATTTACGGGTCATGCCACTCCAGAAATCTATAAATAGACCCCTCATTTCTCTTGAAAGGGGGATCTAAGGAAGAAGAGAAGGAAGAGCAGGAAGAAGAGAAGGAAGAGCAGGAAGAAGAGAAGGAAGAGCAGGAAGAAGCTTCTCTTCAACTACCGCCTGAGTTTCGCCAGACCACAGTCTGACGTCGTTGCTCCGCTGAAGCACCACCTAAAGCCCTCACCTTCGTCGGACCACCACTGGAGGTCCTCACCTTCCCCGGACCACCACTGAAGGTCCTCACCTCCACCAGGCCACCACTTGAGGCCCGGACTTCCGCCGGACCACCACTTGAGGCCCCGAGCTCCACCAGGACACCACCTGACGCCCAGAGTTCTGTCGAACCACCACCTGAGTCCCGGACTTCTGCCGGACCGCCACATGAGGCCTGAAATTCTACCGGACCACAACTTGAGATTCAAACTTCTGTCCGGCCACCACTTGACGCCGAGAGTTCTCCCGAAGTACCGCCCTTCTACTACAGTCTTTCGAACCTGTCTCCTATCAAACATGGTCCTTCCGACCTCCATCATCAGACAACAGTCTTTCTAACCCAGGTCTGTCTAGTGATTCTAAGGTTGAGAAGAATATCCACTTTTCATTTTCCAGTTGAGTTCATGTTGGAGCCCAAACGTCCAAGCAAATTTTAGCTTCGCATTTTGGAGCCACTTTCACTTGAAGCATGAATGAGAATCAAAAGCAAATTTTGATCAGAAAAGATTAGCCAATTTCAAATATTATGTGGCATAAAGTTGAATTTCCCTTTAGATATTAGATATATTAAAAAAAACAAATTTAATGGTATGTCCAAAATTCCTCTATTTTAATTTATTCCCGGCCTACCATGGAGGGAATGACTCTTAGTCTCTTATCACATGGAAAATTTTTATTATTTTTTAAATAACTTCAATAATGCAGGTGGCAACGCCGTGTTAACAATGACAAGCCACCTTGTTGGCATTGAAAAAGAAATAATGCTTTTTTCTTGATTTTTTTCTAAGATTTATTGTCATCGAGGCATTATGAAAATTCATCACGTCGCTTAAAGATATATGTAAGAAAAAGTTTCCGAAGGAAGAGGCAGATGTTAAAGCTACACTGCTTTGTTCTGAGTGGGAAGAACATCTGAAGAACCCAGATTGGCATCCGTTTAAAGTAATTACGATCAATGATAAAGAGCAGGTTGGTCTGTTTACTATTTAGAACTTTTGATGCTTACGGTCGATGTCTTTATGTTGAGTCACCATGTGCAGGAATATCAATCTTGTTTGGTTGATATAGTTTGGTTAGTATAAATGTTACCTTTTACATTTACTGCCTTAGGTTTAGGGTTGTAAATAAGCCAAATATGAACATGTTGGGGCTTAACATTGGCCTAATATAAAAGTCTTGTTTATTTTCAATTCATTTATTGTATCGTTGAAAAGAACTAATTTTTGAATCAATTAAACAATAGTTATAATAAAATTGAAGAGAAGTCCCATTTCAGGAACGAACACAACCTTTTGGCATTGCTAACAAAACAGATAAAACTCGGGCCATTAATTCAACTCTTACGTACTCCCTCTCATCTCCATCAGTCGCACGAGACCCCGCTGACCCCGCTCGTCCTCTCGCTCGATCTCTCCCTCTCATCTCTATGTGTCGCACATAGATACAGGAAGCCTCACATGATTCACGTCCTTGGTCCGACCCGCCTGTCTACCGCCTCCATGCACGACACCAG